AAACTGAACTTGTTTTGTGCTGAATGATGATGAAAAAGAAGACAGTTTTCCTGAATCACAAGGAAGGTTTTCCTTGTAAAACAAAGTTTTCTAAATTCAGGTATGAATACTCACACCACTTATATATTAAGAAAAGCAAATGTTTTGACTATTGTGAAAACAGTCAAACTACTTTTGTTTTTTAAACCTCTCTGCCTCTTTCTCCCACTAAATGAGCAGACCAGGTTAAGCATTTGTAGACATAATGAGCATTTGCAGACAGGATGAGTAACTAATAAATTTAAACAGCATTTGGCAGGATCCCTTTGACCTCTAGCACCATATGTGCACGGTTTTCGATTTTCTCAGTCTTTCCAATGAATAGAGGTAAAACTGACTCCAAAGCCATAAGAATGAAAACATTGATTTTCTCCCCACTAAATTAATGAATTGGGAAGAACCAAGAACACTGCACAGTAACTCACATCTTGTCATAGAACACTGACACAAAAAGCTTTGTTATTTTCCCCCTTCCAGTGCTGTTGGGGTATGCGTTCAACTCAGTCAACCCACATTATACCACATCAGGTCACTGGTGCATAAGCTCAGTGCTGTCTACACTGATAGGCAGCAGCTGTCCAAGGTTTCAGGTAGGAGTTTACCCAAGTCCTACCTGGAAATGCTGGGAATTGAACCTGGTACATTCTGTGTGCAACAGAAAATGCTCTAGTGTGAGTGTGAGAGCCAGTGTGGTGTAGTGGTTAAGAGCGGTAGATTCGTAATCTGGGGAACCGGGTTCGCGTCTCCGCTCCTCCACATGCAGCTGCTGGGTGACCTTGGGCTAGTCACACTTCTCAGAAGTCTCTCAGCCTCACTCACCTCACAGAGTGTTTGTTGTGGGGGAGGAAGGGAAAGGAGAATGTTAGCCGCTTTGAGACTCCTTCGGGTAGTGATAAAGCAGGATATCAAATCCAAACTCTTCTTCTTCTTCTTCTTCTTCTTCTTCTTCTACTACTACTACTACTACGGAGCTACAGCCCAGCTATTTACATTCCTATGGATTTGAACTGGGGAGATTTTATATATATCAGGCATAGGCAAACTCAGCCCTCCAGATGTTTTGGGGCTACAATTTCCATCATCCCTTACCACTGGTCTTGTTAGCTAGGGATCATGGGAGTTGTAGGCCAAAAACATCTGGAGGGCTGAGTTTGCCTATGCCTGATATATATAAAGGCTGAATAATAATAATAATAATAATAATAATAATAATAATATATTTATTTATACCCCGCCCATCTGGCTGGGCTTCCCCAGCCACTCTGGGCGGCTTCCAACAAGATATTAAAATACAGTAGTCCATCAAACATTAAAAGCTTACCAAAACAGGGCTGCCTTCAGATGTCTTCTAAAAGCCTGGTAGTTGTTGTTCTCTTTGACATCTCATGGGAGGGTGTTCCACAGGGCGGGTGCCACTACCGAGAAGGCCCTCTGCCTGGTTCCCTGTAATTTGGCTTCTCGCAGTGAGGAAACTGCCAGAAGGCCCTTGACGCTGGACCTCAGTGTCTGGGTAGAACAATGGGGGTGCTCTTCTGTTTTACAGACGTCCTTCCTACCTATCTTGGTTCTCAGACTCCCCACAGCTGACGAGGCAGGTAGCTATTTTCAAATCAGCAGTAAGACAAAACCCCAAGGTGTTCGCATTAGAGACCTGAAAATTTGTTCCCGTGTTTCGAGTATCAGCATCCAGACCGAATAATGACTCTGCCTCCCTGATAAACGACTGCTTTCCCACACTGCCCCCTTTTCAGTTCGCTCCATTATATCCTTGATTATACATCCATGGTGGCAATCCATTTCTGGGTCCATGCACTTCATTGCTTCGAAAAGAAACTCCCTTTTACAGCTGCCAAAGCAACAGAAATAATGTCAGTCACATTCACAGAACCAGCGAACCATATAATACCATTGACAGCTAACATACGTGACTTTAAGCACCCTGACTCCCGCTAAATTGATAACCCTGCAATTGCCATTAGGAATGCGGTCCAGGAGTGTGGGATGGCATGGTGTTTGTGAAGTACGCACTTGGAATTTTTCAGTGACCTTGTCAGCCCTAAGTGTAGCAGTTTAGCCAATGTTAAGGCACACACACTCACGAAAATCAACGCTGATGAACTGTAATTGCCCTCTCATTCCGTTTCTCCATTAGCTAAAACTGTCCAAAGAAGTAAAAGTACTGTTATCTGATTAACAAGAAGGCAACAGCTGACATACAGTTCAGTGTTTTGAGGGAGAATCTACTGGCAAAAAATAATCACAATTTCTGTTGAAGAACACCAAGTCTTTGGAACAGATCCATTATCCTGCAGCCTCTCGCTGTGGTTTCCATAGTTCTGAAAAAGGTACGTAACTACTTTACCTCTCTAAATTGTGGTGTTATGGTAATTATTTTGGACCTTTACCTGTTTTCACAGTGGCCATGTAGCCAAATCTTCATGTACAACTTTTCATATTTTTTTCAGATGACACAACCTTCACTGAAGCAGACCTGTCAGCTCAGAGCAAGAAACAGGGCACCCTGATTTTCAGACTGGTTTTATATCCTCCACTTTTAAAATATGATCTCCTGGTTTGGACAGTCACCTGCACCAGGGTGAACACAGTTGGGTAAATTAACCCACTCACAGGGTGAAATTCAGTGTTGTACTCTTCCAGTCATTCTGCCTGCACAAGAATTCCTGCTTGCCGGATGGAACAATCTCCCCTCTCTGGAATTTATCCCAAGTCCAAGTGGATGTGGGTGGCGCTGTGGTCTAAACCACTGAGCCTCTTGGGCTTGCCGATCAGAAGGTTGGCGGTTTGAATCTCCGCGACAGGGTGAGCTCCCATTGCTCTGTCCCAGCTCCGGCCAACCTAGCAGTTTGAAAGCACGCTAATGCAAGCAGATAAATAGGTACTGCTGCGGCGGGAAGGTAAATGGCATTTCCATGTGCTCTGGTTTCCGTCATGGTATTCTGTTGTGCCAGAAGCAGTTTAGTCATGCTAGCCACATGACCCGAAAGCTGTCTGTGGACAAACGCCGGCTCCCTCGGCCTGAAAGCGAGATGAGTGTCGCAACCCCATAGTCGCCTTTGACTTTAACTGTCCAGGAGTCCTTTACCTTATTTTTTTACCTATCCCAAGTCCACCCCAGAGCCAATTTCAGTGGCTGGACTTCAGCTCCCATCAGTCTCAGCCAGCATGCCTATGGTCAGAGTTTATGGGAGTTGTAGTCCAAAACACCTGGAGGGCACCAGGTTGGGGAGTGCTGCTTCACACCAGAGCAGGGTTGCTTAGGATATCTTTGCTAGCTAGTTAGAATAAAACTGAGCTGAGCTGCCAAATAGCTCAGATCTAAGATAATACAAGCCCTTAAGGATAGTTTGTAAGCCTCTTGCTTATATGTTAAACAGCAGGCATCTATATTAGCATTTCCAGAGTAAAATAATGCAGGAATAACTCAGCTTTAATGTAGAGGACTATACATTATAATGCTTTTGCCTCTCAGTTCACTTGCCAAATACAGCCTGTTTCAGGGACTATATATACTGATTTACAAACAAAGATACATATTGTTCGTGTGTGTGTGTATCTTTAGGCTGCCTAAAATGGAATAGAAGGGCAGAAGTATTATAAGAAATAAGACACAGCAAATAATAAAACAAAGGCAAAGGCAAGTTTAAATAGGTCTAAATGAAATGAAAATTAAGGCTCCAATACAATGTCCAGAGATCGTAGGGCCATGCCCCCCCCCCGTGCTTTTTCAGAGTGAGATCTTGATGCGAAATCACACAATATCATGGCACCCAAATGGGCTGCCGTGTTCTAATGGGATAAAACAGGATGTCCCAATTTTTTCCAGTACACTTGAGGGGGTATGTGCTTGAGGTATTCAGTATTTACGAATTCCTAATCTGCACATTCAAAACTAATTTGTGGATCAAAACTTAGCTGACTGCCAGATTTTACACATCTCTGAATGTTATGACGTGGCTCTTGACAATTTAAACATATCAAAATATGCATGGTGCGTTTGGGTTTTTGTTTAATTTATTTTTTTTTAATGTAAATTAATGGACTAGAACAGAATTATGGGTAAAATTGACAGACTAACCCATCTCTAATCACTATGGACTGTTGGGTTGTAAAATGGATGATGGTGTCATCGCACACTCACAAGGTAATACGAGACCTTAATAATTTTATAATGCTTAATTTTTATTGTATCTCTTTCCTTGACTTTCAGAAGAGGACTTTCTTCTTTACCAAAGTAACTTCTTTCTGCCTACTTACACTTCTTTCATGCCTACCACAGCAGGGCAGTTGGAGGCACCACATTGCTCCTCTCCGTGGAATGACACGTAATCAGTTAAAAAAAAAAAGATGAAAAAAATCCCCCTTTTGTTTATACTGTTAATAACAGATGTTGCTCTGCGACATCACACATGCTGTTTAATATTATCAAAACAATTATTCATTTATTCATCTTTGCACAGTGTGTGCAAGCTGGCATTACAGATCTTGCAGGCACGGCCTTCATGAATGCATAAACCCAAAATGCATGTCACATATAATCAATCACCCTCTGCATCCCCACTCCCATCACCCTTCCTAATCTTTGGTCTGAAGTGTTCCTAACATTATTGCTGACAAACTGATACGGATGTGGTGGGCAAAACTTCGGGCACCCACTGAGACCTGCTGAGATGCTTGAGATCTCACCCTATTTTCACGTAAAATCAATAATAACCCTGTCATCGGCCACAGAAGGCAGCAGAATGAGATGTCTTCTAGATTAGATGCAGGAAAGTTCTAAAGCAAACTAGAGTATCAGCAGTGGGTGAAAGGAGCTGGAGAAGGCAGCCCTTGATGATCAAGAGAAATGGATAATGTAACCAGATAGCTGCTCGGAGTGTGTACCCATAGAAGGGACCCTGAGGATCATCTAGTCCAGCCTCCTGCAATGCAGGAATAAGTAGCTGTCCCATACAGGGATCGAACCTGAAACCTTGGTGTTATCAGCACTGAGCTCTATCCAACTGAGCTATCCAGTGCATGGCTGACTCCAGCGAAAGATTCTCCTCATGCATAAAGGTGTTTTTTAAGGGTCAAATGGCTGGGATCCAACACATGGGGGTTCTGATGTGCACATGCAACAAAACAGCTTAACTGAGCATTTGAGTAGAATGCTATCTGTGTTGTTTTCTTTATAGCAATAAAAGAGCTACCATTTTATAAAACAGAACCTGAAAATGCTGGAAAGGGTTCTGGAATATCCTACAGAGGGGAGATTCCAACCTACCCGCCTTCAGGCCTCTTCTGGCTACATCCTTAGATAACATTGTTCCGCTGTCCACATTGTATCTTTGACCCGTGATGCTTTTCCTTTGCTCCTTTTTCAAGTTGCACATTGTTAACCTGGGCACATAAAAAAGGCTGATCGCCGAAGAATTGATGCTTTTGAATTATGGTGCTGGAGGAGACTCTTGAGAGTCCCATGGACTGCAAGAAGATCAAACCTATCCATTCTGAAGGAAATCAGACCTGAGTGCTCACTGGAAGGACAGATCCTGAAGCTGAGGCTCCAATACTTTGGCCACCTCATGAGAAGAGAAGACTCCCTGGAAAAGACCCTGATGTTGGGAAAGATGAAGGGCACAAGGAGAAGGGGACGACAGAGGACGACATGGTTGGACAGTGTTCTCGAAGCTACCAGCATGAGTTTGACCAAACTGCGGGAGGCAGTGGAAGACAGGAGTGCCTGGCGTGCTCTGGTCCATGGCGTCACGAAGAGTCGGACACGACTAAACAACAATAACAAGAACACATATCCATCGGAACCAGCAGTTATGGTGTGTGTCATGTACACCGTAGAGCAGCCATGATGGATCAAAATGGCTGACACTATGCCAGGTCTCTGTCCCTTCTGTAGAAGTTGCTTGGACCTTTGGGCACATGATTGCTGCTTTCGATGAGGCTCCTGGAGACCTTGGTGTTATGTAACCCAATGAACGTTAATGCACTGGTCAGAATTTGCTATGTTGTAGCATTGAATGGATCTATCCGTCATTCTCTGCACAAAGTTTCAGGTTACATCTGATTAACGTCATTTACCCAAACGTTAAGTCTGAAACATTCAGCTAACCATATGTTTGAATAGACAGATGGCTGCCTAGGTCAGCTGAGTCTTGGGTAATGTATGGCATGATCCTTTAAATGACCACTTGAAGGACAGTCAGTTGAAAAGAATTGGTTCCCTTGACCTTTCAGTGCCAAGGTAAAAGGCATCCCAAGCAGAAGGCTAATTAGTTTGTCTTTGTTCCTCTTTCTAATTACAACGTGTAGCGACTTGAATGATGGCCCTCTGGCCTTGTTTGGATGGAAAAACAACAACTGTTTGCCTAGCCCCAGTTCTTCATTCAGTTTTATGGTATTATACAAGTTGCGTTCCGGGACGTCGCAGTGGAGAATTCAAGGTCAAACCGAACCGAGAGCTCCAGTTGCGGACTTAATTTTGCCTTGAGTTGTTGACAGCAGGGGCTGATAAGGATCTTTCGACAGAGCTGACCTTTGTTTGCTGCCACGGCTGGGACATTTCGTTTTGCATGAGACTTTCTGAGGCTAGACCAAAGGTCAGAGTCGTTCAGTGCATTGCGGCCAGTGTTCCCATAATTAAAACACTCATTAAACCTTTTTGGTTAACATCTCTGTGTTTTCATTTTGAGAAATCCATTAACTACTAGGCACATCAAAAGATTAGCTTTAATCTGCTGGGAAACAGCTGTGTTTTTTTAAAAAAGAATTGTACAAGAAACTTTACCTGTTAAGCAGAAGTAACACAAAAGTGCCATGCATCCCTTAAAGAGGGGACAGGTAATTTTTAGGCCCAGAAGACAAATGACTTCTCTTTCTGGCCCTTGAGGATCTTCCCAGGTCCTATACTCTCCTAAACCACACCCTTCATGAACTCCTGGCAGGAGTGTACCCTTGAAATCAGATTACACTGCAGTGCCTCCGGCCCTGCTCTCCACAGGCATGTGACCTTGAGAAGGAAAGGAGATGTGCCCCTCAGGCAGAAAATGTTTCCCCACCCCTGACTTAAGGGCCGAAAGAATGACCACAGACAGATCTCTATTTCTCTGTCATTAAGCAACCAAGGTGTTGTTTCTTGAAGATGCTTCGACTGAGAGTTGGATGGTGTGCTTAACTTCAGTATGTCATTATTGATGACTCGGCACATTACAGACTGTTTTTAACAAGCAAACAAGCAAACAGTAAAACAACAACAACAACCCAGGTCCCTAATCCAAGCAGCAGTTTAAAATCTGAATTCAGACTATAGAAGTGACCATAGGAGCCAACTGCTAGGGGCCAAGGTCCCTTTGGCCCCCTCAATAAAATATTTGTTGTTTTTTTTAAAAAAAAATATTTATTAAGATTTTCAAAATGTTACAAAACAAAAATAAAAAAAAGAAAAAGTACAAAAATAAAAATGGCTAAAAACAACTCAATCTTTCCATTGCTTATTTTTCATTAGCTTGTTTCCCGGACCTCCTCACGCCTCCCTTTTTTGTATTCCAGTTCAGTTTGTTGGTTCAGCAAATCCTTACCCTCTTTGTTTATCCTAATCTTTAATCTTAAAATATTGTAACGTTAAATTTTTACCTATTAATAATCCATTTTTCATATTCCCTTATAGTATTACAGCTGAAAACCACTTAATTTCTATCCAACATCATTCTAACATTCATTAATTTTACAATATTTCTGTAGATAGTCCTTAAATTTCTTCCAATCTTCTTCCACCGACTCTTCTCCCTGGTCTCGGATTCTGCCAGTCATTTCCGCCAGTTCCATATAGTCCATCACCTTCATCTGCCATTCTTCCAGAGTGGGTGGATCTTGTGTCTTCCAATACTTTGCAATGAGTATTCTTGCTGCTGTTGTGGCGTACATAAAAAAAGTTCTGTCCTTCTTTGGCACCATTTGGCCGACCATGCCCAGGAGAAAGGCCTCTGGTTTCTTCAAGAAGGTATATTTAAATACCTTTTTCAATTCATTATAGATCATCTCCCAGAAAGCCTTAATCCTTGGGCACGTCCACCAAAGGTGAAAGAATGTACCTTCAGTTTCTTTACATTTCCAACATTTGTTATCGGGCAAATGATAAATTTTTGCAAGCTTGACTGGGGTCATGTACCACCTGTATATCATTTTCATAATATTCTCTCTTAAGGCATTACATGCCGTAAACTTCATACCTGTGGTCCATAACTGTTCCCAGTCAGCCATCATTATGTTATGTCCAACATCTTGTGCCCATTTAATCATTGCGGATTTCACCGTTTCATCCTGAGTATTCCATTTCAACAGCAAGTTATACGTCTTTGACAAAATCTTAGTTTTGGGTTCTAACAGTTCTGTTTCTAATTTTGATTTTTCCACCTGGAAACCAATTTTCTTGTCCAAATTATATGCCTCCATTATCTGATAATAATGAAGCCAGTCTCGCACTTTGTTTTTTAATTTCTCAAAAGTCTGCAATTTCAGTCTATCTCCCTCAATAAAACATTTGAGGGGGCCGCTTACCCCAAGTTGATGGGCATTGCCATTCTGATGGTATGTGTCTGCCGTGTCTTGTGATCAATAATGTGGGGTGGGGCTTACCCCAATATTTTATTCAAGTTGGCACCCCTGGAAGTGAGTGACAGGAGTGAAGGGTGAATCAAAGGCGTGTTTTTCTCTAAAACCACAGGAATCTAAGTATCATAGAGAAAGCTTAGCCGTGTAAGTGAAGAAATGGTAATTAGCAAAGATAATATGACTAAAATATGGTAAAAAGTAAAGGTAAAGGGCCCCTGGACAGTTAAGTCCAGTCAAAGGCGACTATGGGGAGCGGTGCTCACCTCGCTTTTCAGGCTGAGGGAGCTGGTGTTTGTCCACAGACAGCTTTCCGGGTCATGTGGCCAGCATGACTAAACCACTTCTGGTGCAACGGAACACTGTGATGGAAACCAGAGTGCACAGAAACACTGTTTACCTTCCCGATGCAGCAGGACCTATTTAGCTACTTGCACTGGCATGCTTTTGAACTGCTAGGTTGGCAGGAGCTGGGACAGAGGAATGGGAGCTCACCCCATCACGTGGATTCGAACTGCCGACCTTCCGATTGGCAAGCCCAAGAGGCTCAGTGGTTTAGACCACAGCCCCACCTGCATCCCTGGTGGCTAACATATGATGTCACAATGAAATGTTACTGTTACTGTTCTCTACTGGGTTTTCTTCATTTCAGCAGCAGGCTGAACCACGGATTTTTCCTGTTGCCACACTGTTTTAAAATCTGTAGCGGATATCTTCCATTTTGGCATGGTTGGAGAACAGGGGTCTGGCTGATGTTGTTGGGGTCACAAAATTGCTGGGACCCACATACTCAAGCATCCTGGCTGAGTTTGTTCTCCTTTTTGTAGTTCCTATGGAAAAGTTGCATGAAGATGAAGTCACAGGCAGACCAAACGCAGCAATTCCTCTCACTTCTGTCTGATCTTCCTAATGGGGCCTCTCCCACATGGATCGACAAAATGGCTCACAAGAAAATGGACAGACAGGTCAACAGATTACTTAGTACATTATACCATTTAGAAGGGGTATAATGCTTATATAGGGAAGCTGATTATGTGGTATGAAACGTGCTGGTATGAGGAAGTCAGTGGCATCTGTACCCTTGCATGTTCTCAGATATGTTTATATGATTACAGCTCCCAGAAATTACTGACCAATGCACTGCACATTTTATTTTTTTAAGCAGTTGACCATTTACAGCATAATACATAACATAAAGCAAAACACATTTAACTTGCCCATGTAACATCTTGGAAAAATGCAGCTAGATTATATGGCTATTTATTGCCCAAGTATTTATCATTCCAAGACATGGTAAATAAAGACCGTCTCTCTAGAAATCTTTTACCTTGCCTAATCTCCGCTCTCTTATAATATGTAAGCTTTGATAAAACATTAATATTCCATTTTTAAAAACCAGTTTAGAGTCTTG